GCACCTTCAAGGCTACCCCTATCGCAGAATAATTGAACAATCTGCTGATGAAGAGACAAAATCTAGCCATTGACATTTTTGTTCAATATGTCAGCTTCAGATGACACCATTCATTGTAATGATTAAGTCACTAAAATTGTGCTCAGTCTGAACAGTAAAATATAGAAAGAAATTGTGGGCATTAATTATCGAAAAATATAGTATACCGTGAAATGTAGTGACACAGCCAGGTGAATATAGGAATGTAGGCTGGTAGGATTATTTCATATTATGCTATTGATGGACATATCTCAGATATATAAGCAGTTAAAACAGACCATTATATTTTATACAAAAGTCGATTGACAAATTTGACATGCTGTTAACATGTAACTGCTGGTAAGTCAATATGTGCATGCAGCATGTGTTGCTACTTGCTAGTATAGGAATCTTATCAAGCCTGATTATGATACATCCAGAATAAACACTAAAACTCATCGCCACACAAACAAATATAAAATTAAAGGTACATTTTGACTCCTTGTATATATATAAAATATTGTCATTATTGTCTATTGACGAATCGAAGCGAGTATGGACTCGAAGCGGGTTTATAGCTGATCCTGGGGCTAAAGTATAAAACAGCATATGTAAATATATGTAAATATAAATGGCTTCACGGTATATCACCAGAATTAAAGCATCTGATATAAAGTCATCCTTACCTGATTTATTCAAAATATTGTCAATCGTTTCCATAGTGCAAATCCAACAAACTGTATGTAAATTTCTCAAGTTCATTAATAATTCATGAGCAATTCAGCCAATGATAATCACCTATTTGATCACAAGATGCCATTTGGATACTTGATGAAAGTCACTAGTGTTTTCATCAAATATCTTAATTACGCATGCAAAATTACTTGAATAGAATTCCTAATTACGTTATGTTTGGTTAAGAATTCTATTCAAATCAGCAAACGAAAACATTCTATTACGTCTCGATTCATTTGAGAAGCCATATAAACAACTCGAGCTCGTGTCTCACCGGGATATCCAAACACTCGAAAACAATGTATGAAAACACTCGCGCTTCGCGCTCGTGTTTTCATACATTGTTTTCTCGTGTTTGGATATCCCGGTGAAACACTCGCTCTCGTTGTTCATATATTACATAAAGCTCGTATTCGTATTGCTCGTATTTAAAACTGAAGAGTCATGTCTGCGCGACACGAAATAAAGTTTGACCGCCCCCCTCGTTTATAAAAACTTCCTGAAGCCTTAATTATTTCCCCGGAATTTCGAAATCCTGACAGACACAAAGTCGAGATCTCGACAATACATAACTCGCGCGAAAGACTGGGTCGAGTGGACTCTGGAGAAACCATAGGGAGAAACCACAGCACGTCAAGAATAGTGTGCTGCCTCGCTGCGCTCGGCAGCAAAAATAAGAAATTTCATTTTATATACACTTCAAAGAAAGTTCAACTTGTTGGCTTGTTGCTACGCTACGGCATTTAGGGGAGCATCAAGAGGGTGTTTTTCCTAAAAAAAGAACGAATTAAGATTTCAAAATGAATCTAATAAAGTCGAAATTGCACTTCGTGTCATACAATTTTGGTTTGAAATCAAACTTGTGATTGAAAATCACACTCTCGCTTCGTGGTCGTCCGATTTTAATCACGCGTTTGATTTCAGACCGAATTGCACTCCACTCAGCGCAATTGCCATTATTAAGCAGGACTTGAAATTTGCAGTATCCCGGATATCCACAGGATACCAGATTTTTAATTTGGATATTTGGATACTGCAGAACGTATCTATTTTGGGCCTGCATGCGTGGGTCAAAATGTAACGCATTGTTTTGAGAGATGAGAACCTCCAAAAATTGGCTGAATTTTTAGCTAATAAATCCTCCGCGGCTTATGATACGAGGGGAAATTGTAAATATAATAATTATTATTGTAAAACAGAACGGTTTAGAAAATCCTTCCTACCACAAATTATTTCGAAACTAAATTTTAAATAGTAGTTTATTCCTTTATATATATTTATTTGTAGTATAGCTGATGTAATTTAACCTTTAAATTGGTTACAAATTGGTTAATAAGTTAGTGCTTACCGGAAGTCAGTCTTCTCACTCCGATGACATCCACACATGTATTTTCCCTTTATAGGTTTATGTTCACAGGCGAAGCGAGATGAGTTTTTATACAACTTTCTTTGTGATTATCTTGCCAGCCACGATGAAGGTCGAGATTTGATTGAAATTATAGACGCCCGTCGTGGTCTCCATCTTAAAGATTTAGATAGAATAAGCGACATTTACTGTGATTTTAAAGAAACAAAAGGCAAAACATTAAGCAGGGATTTGAAGAGTAGAAAAGATAATTTGAAAAATGTATTGAAACTGAAGATAACTGGCAATTGGATAGAAAGATTTAGTAATGGAACAGAGGATGGCAAAGAATATCTCAAGTATGAGATTAAAAATCAAGAATTGTGGCAGTCACTTACTGGGAGGTATCCTGTTTTGGAACCTCCGCGTATGGTAATATAAACATTTAGTTAGTTATTTTGACGTCATTATACATAATCTAAAACATACTTGTTCAAAAGATACTTTACTGTATGCGAGTATAGGGATTCAACATACCTGAATTCAACTACCGCACGAACGTCTTTCATAATTTCTCAACGAAGAGCCTTCGTTCGAAACGTTGAAGTTTTCCTTGTATTTTCAGGTAATGAAGCCCTGCCCATCTACAGTACAGTTATCTGGTGTTTTTGGCGATACTTACCCTGGCACAGACCATTTAAGTTTATATGATATTATGTATACACGTAACAATTTTACCATCATGAATGAATGTTATTTTAATTTCCAGTTACATGGCAATTTCCCTAACGCCAACAGTCAACTACCAACTGAACCATCTTCAGATGAAGGAGGTATTTTAATACACGGCTAATATAATATACGAGTCAACTTATCAGCGTCAGAGGTAACCGCATAGTAACATGGGTATTTGTCAAAATGTTGTCGAAATAAAATTTTCAGTCCATCCCCGCGCGGATGTCTGAAATTTAAATGCGCCTGCGTTTCCGCATTTAATATTATTGAAAGCAAACATGGCGTATGCATCCAAGGATATCCGCCACATTAAATTTAAACGTCCCAGTGTCTGTGATCTACCTTAACTAAACCGTGACCTTGCTATACTTTACAAAATGCGTTAAATGGTGACAATAACACCAGAAAATATGCCTGAGAATATAATACGAATAAAACTTCGCAGTTCCACCTGTATTTTTCAGGTAGGTGCATCCCTTTCAAACCGCAGTTTCTGGTGTTAAATACCAGCGAGATTATCGACCATACATAGCTCGATCAAACGGCCTGGCGCGAGCAAAAGAAAGAGCTAAGCCCAAGAATATAGGTGTGTTGCATGCCTTGCTGGCACTGAAACAGGGAATCTCCAGACCATCGACCATGCATGCATTGACCGACGTCTGTCGCCAGATGATCAACTACCGGGTGGGGCAAAAAAAAGTACGACTCTTTGAATTGGTATAACATCAGAACTAAAAGAGCAATGACAATAAAACACGTTTATTGGCATTCAGCGATGTCTAACTTAAATTTTGATATATGCCATGCACATTTCCGTGCCATATTGACAAAGATACGTGCATTTGAACAAGAGTAACATTTTTGAAACTGAGAGAATTAAGCTAAAAACGGCCTTTAAATATTAATACCTTTATATACAAAAACAACTTGTGTTAAGACGCGTTATACTCTATAGTCAGTACGTTAACGCTTGTTGTTCAAAAGCAATCATCTATTCATCAGCAAATTCATGTCCCCCGGCACAATTGCTATCCCACGGGTATCGGATACCTTCTAGGAACAAAACTTTTAATAAAATCGGCCTTATAAGTTCACATCCATTGCCCAACATCGTAAAACAAAAAATAAAAAGTCTGTGAATGAAGAAATATTTCTATAACTTCGACTTCACTTCATTGAAACAATAATCGCGAACAAATCGAATTAGTTTAATAGGGGCTTTTCAGCTAATTATTGGCGGTTCCAAAAATGTTCGCGTAAGTTTAAACACAATTATCTCAGTCATAATCTCATGAAAATGCACCAGACATATATCAAAATCTAAGTTAAACATCGCGGAATATAGGGTGATTTATTTAAGTGTAATAGCTCTTTTGGTTTTTGAGTCATAGTAAATCAAACAGTCGTACTTTTTTTTGCCCCACCCGGTAGTTGATTGCATATGGCGTCGACTGTTCAGTAGACGCCAAAAACAACCAGTCGCAGCATTTATCTGGCAGCATTTTACCCATAGAATGCGTACTTGGTCACGAACCATGTCTCCATCTTTTCTCAAGCATGCCCTTTCAAATCCGCCATATTGAATTGGAGTAGGAGTGAGATTAACTTTTGGTTTCCTGTCTAATTTTCAGTTTGAGCGAAGGTTTAAAAATATTAGGTTGTTTGAAGGCTCAAAAGCAAATTTAAGTGTTGTATCAGTTGTACATTTACAAAAATTGTAACAATCGTGCAGCTTTGGAGAAACAGAGTAATTTCGCGTAGTTATAATTTACTCATAAAACGTGTTTGCATGCTCACTGTTTTGCAATATCTCATGAAATTGCAAAACGGTAGTTCATTCTCATCGGATATCGTTCTAGTTGTCGATGAACTGTTAATGGCCTAAAATAAATGATCTTCAAAAACTGTGGTTCCAAAAGCATTGCCTCAAACCTCCAGGATCAAGCAACGTACAGAAAAACAGAAGTTTAACGTAATGATTAATATAAAACGGTTGAAATAATTTCAAAACTTACCAATTGATCTTTTGTGTTTTGACTTTCACAACAACCTTGAAACTGCAGTTTAAACAATGATTTCTGTATATATTCTTGCTGAAAAAAAAAATTCGCACTCCCCAGCAACCGCGCGAAATTCCCTGTCGCACGGGTCTGCAGCGAGTAAAAATGCCCATTGAAATCCGCCATTTGTGGATACAAAATTTTTACTGAGAAAAGATGGAGTACGCATTCTATATCTATTATTTCTATGGTTTTACCATTATAAGCTGTAAAAATATATGAACTGTAATAAATTGTGATATAATTCATTCTGCGCATGATTGCATGCTTTCTAATTTTTTGCCCCAACATTTGCGTATTGCGTATATTCTGTTGTGCTCCCGATTACAAGTTACAACTTGCACTTAGACGATGAGATGTTGTAATATTGTTTTTGCTTTCTTAAGGTTCATATTCTCATTCTCACGTTTCGGTAGCAACTACTAATAGTACGCATGGTAATTATGGAACAGTGGCTCAAACTACAACATCACCACGTTTAAATGATGTAAGAATGCCATTATTGCTTCCCGTAGTGAGATTGCTAATTGACTATTTGCGCGCGCAAGTTAATTTAGGTATATAATATTTGTCGGAGACGAAATATTGTCCCTTTGCGATTCAATCGATTTCTATTTCACCGTAAATTTTGTTTGTTAACTGTGAGGTTAGCCTCAGATTATGTCTGCTTTCAATGTGTCTGAATGCAGAAACTCTGCGAATCACTTAGTACATACAGCTATTTCAATTAAGGTTGTTCCCCGAGCAAAGCGGTTCCCAGCAGCCTTTCGCGCTCGTATTCGACTTTTCCGCTTTGCGCGGGGGACAACCTTAATTGAAATAGCTGTATATATAGTATGCGCTTGTCTGTTTAGCTTCCTGACTCAGACGATATATTCTCTTGTTTTGAAGGTAACGTATTTAGTCAACTTTTTAAAGCATGTTTGGTTCACGTTTCATGTCAATAGCTTAGTCCTAGCTTAGATTACAGACCAATTAAAGTTGCGGTAAAGTCCGTTCTGCGCATATATTCTGCGCATCAAAACATTCCATCAGTGGGGGAGCAACCTTTGGAATGTTGTTAATATTTCGCTCTTTCCGAACTTTCTTGAATTGAATCCCTAGTCTGTATTCATTTACAAGCATAACGAACCAGAAAAGTGTTAAAAATTCAGTATAATATATATCTAATCATATTTTACAACTGTAGCAGTGAGTTCAAAATGTAAACAAAGCGTTTGTTTACATTACGGACTTTACATCACCTTTAATGGTTTGTGTAGTATTAATGCAATTATTCTTATACGTCATATCCTGTCTTCTTGAGTATATATAATGATTTTTACACTTTTTACTTAATGTCTTCCTATTATAGACTTGCCTTCATCTGACATGGTAGTGATGGAACATTTTGACCAGGTACAGCATGTATACAATATTTGCGGTTGTATTTCAAAGATTAGAATTTTTGTTTCAGTAATGTTGTTACAACTTATGTAGTGTATAACATACAGTACATGAAAAATGGGCAGGCTATATAACCGTACATAAATATGCGTCAAGCTGTTGTTCGTTGTTTGCTGTTGGTTGTTTTGACTACATCAACCATCAAGGCGTGCCACGAAATTTATTCTCAATCTGCCGTTTTCCAGTCCAGACAGTTATACCTCGCGATTACAGTCTTTATCATTACTTCCATGATGTTACTGGCATGAGTTTTTGGATTTGTTTTTTTTCTTTAAAATGGTGAACAATCTGGTAATAATAGAACCTTCTGTAGTACCAAAAGCTCGAAGCTCCAGACAGACCAGATCGTCTATAAACACGGACATACCTAAGTTTGTCATTCCCAGGAGCAAAACAACGACGCATCAACGCTCGTTTCTAATTCGAACAACCAGGGTGTGGAACAACCTAGCTGACGAACTGAACCTTAACATGATAAATTTGAACTCATTTAAATCTACTATTCTAAGTTATTACTTCCGTGCTTTGGAAATTTCCTACGATCCTGAAAATTCAAGAACATTCAAAACTATATGTACCAAGTGTAATACCGTTCGAACTCTGGTTCAGCCTCTTAAGTGCTGCTATTAGTTATATTTTTATTTAGATAGTTTTTTTTTATGTTTGTATGTCCTAATTCGGGCCCGCAGTAATTGGCTCACGCTGTTGCGGTCACCCTGCCTATAGTCATGTATATTATTCTTGTTCTTGTTATAGTTTTGTGTATTGTAATATGGCGAAACTAATAAATAAATAAATAAATAAATAAATAACCTTATACCAAGGTGATTAACAACTTCTTCCACACTTATCACAACAAACTGGGAACAAGCCGTGTTATCACTAGCCTACGGTGTAGACCCCAGCAGAAACACGTACACCGTAGGCTATGTTATCACATCTTAAAGTGTCGGCTTTGACAATAATTTGTGTTCTGTATAACGTGCGTGTTTTTACGTGTGTATGGCATCAGTGAAGGCATGCGCCCAAGAACCTCATTGCACGAAACAATATTTACTTGAATTAATATATTTCAGGTAAATTTCTATTTTTAAGCAGGGATGCTGGAACCACGGGTGCAACTTTCTGCATGGATGCAATGCGGGTGCAGACTTGGTTGAACCCATAGTATGCACCCACATTGCACTCAGAACGTTGTGATTACAAAAGGCAATGGTGCTCGCCCTTACGAAAATCAACACTATTTTAACCCTATTTTATCCCTATTTTACTTTCTATTTTATTCCTATAGAAAAGCTATTTTATTTTTAACCCTATCATATTGCTATCACATATACAAATCCTATATTAAACCTATTAGAACTCTGTTTTAATTGTATTTTATGGCTATTATAAATAGGTTTTTTTGAAACAAAAAATAGCCTATTTTAAATAGATTTTATTTTTCTGAATCGATGAAGCACAGATTAAAATAGGTTTAAAATAGGATAAAATATATTTAAAATAGAGTGCAAAATAGAAATAAAATAATAAAGTAAAGTGAAATATTGGTAATAAAATAGATTTTAAATATACATAAAATAGGTAAAAAA